ACCTGGTGATTAGTCAGCAGACATGTTCATACAAATGTCTTTTTATTGTATTATGCTTTAGCGTTGCAGCCAAGAAATGTTTAAATTTTTTTTTTTCCAGAAGATTTACAAATGGAATAAACAATACTAAGTGTGTGCATGGAAAACAGGGCGATTTTTGTCATTTTAAAGGCATTTGAACAGTAAGTGTTCAATCTGTGATCTCAACATGCCTATGCAGACACAGGCGAGGTAGAAGGCAGTCTGCCCTTTTCTCAGTCTGTGTTCTTTGGGTGATTTTCTCTACAGCAGTTGCTCTTTGTGGCGTAGCGGACTTTAGCTGTTTGTTTGAAGGAAGGACTCCTTCATAACATTACTGGTTATTCTAGGACAAGTTTCCACCTCTCTATCAGCATGAACAGCCTGTAGGTTCCCAATCATGGACTTAGATTAATCTGATGTAAACCTTTGGTTCCTCCATATTGGGGAAAGTTTGCCTACATGTGGGCAAACAGTTCTTTTACCCATGAGAGCCTGTCTTTGAACTGCCTGCAGCCCTCTGAGCTCTGCAGCCGTGCTATCTGGCCTCTCTATGGATACGGACAAAACTTCCCTATGGTTACGCTCTTGCCATGACAACTCTTCCCAAACGTTGCTTTCTCACCATGGTTACACACAAATCCTCTCAGTGTTGTTTGATTCTTAGTGCCTTGTTTCTCTGGGAGGAAACCTGTTAGCCAGCAGGCTTGGCATCCTCACAACATGCCTGAACTACCTTCACTGGACCTGATGAGGGGTGGGGGGGTGGCTTGACCTAAGACACACTCCAGCAATATTGAAGTGCGTTACATGATAACCAACTCTTGCGTGACGGAATTTTACCACCTGCACACAGGTGGTAAAATGTTCAATGCCACTGTAACGACATCAGGTATATAACGCAACAAACCTCAGCAGCTACTATTTAATTAGTTTTTAAGATTCAATTTCAAAATGTTTGTTTTGGTTTGTTATCTCGAAATTATTTAAGGGTTCAGCAACACTTCAGCAGAGATTCTATATATAGATATTTTATTTTACTCCCGCATCTGTAGAAATGTTTGCATGGACATACGTATTAGAGAGGATATCAATCTTCTCCTTTGGTCTGATCATGTTTGATGGAAAAAGACACTTCTTTTGCATTATTACTTGTTTTTCTGCTTAGAAATTATAGAGTAGTTGCTAGACTCTGATCACAGTTCCCAGACTGTCATACATAGAATTACACCACTGGTAATAAAGCTACCTTATATTTGTTATGTGAAAAAGACATCTGAAAAAAAATTCTCGCAAGATTGATTAAACTCTATACAGAAACTACTCAAAGGAGCAGTGCAGTTCACTAAAAGGTCAATTCCTCTTACTTCTTGGGCAGGAATGTGGAAATTACATTTAACTTATATGAACTTTAATAAAGCTTGAAAACAGGGGTTACACAACAGCAGGCTCTGCTACATGTGCAAAAGGCTTCCTAAGGTACAATTTATTAGCAGTATGTGTCGTTTAAATAAGCTTTACTTTATTTTATACCTATCAGTCATTTTTCAATTTTGAGATGAGGGTTGATGAGAAACGTTTTGAAGTGCCGAGCACAGGGGACCTTAAAGTAGTTTTAATTTTTTTTTTCAAATCCTTTAAGCTCCTTTAAAATCCTTTAAACTGAACACTTTACTAAAAGCCTTCTTCAATAAAACGAAACATTGCCAATAAAAAAAAGCTTAAGTGGCTGTATTTTCTTTTTTCTTTTTTTTTCTTTTTTGTTTTCAGACAGAAATCCTGAAAATAGAACTGCATTCTGTTGTGTTACAGTTTTCTAACCTCTGTCTGTTTTGGTGATATAGGGAATAAATTAGGAATATTATGAGAATAAAGTCTTAATATTACAGGATGAAAACTGTAAAATTATGAAAATAAAGTTTTAACTTTATGCAAATAAAGTCGTAACACTGCAAGATTAAAATTTTAACATTATTAAAATAAAATTGTAACAATATGGGAATAAAGTCCTAACAGTGCAGGATTTCAATTGTAGCATTATTAGAATAAAGTTATACATTTAAGGTCATTAGTTGTAACATTAGAGGATTAAAGCTGTAACATTAAGAGAAAAAAAGTCGTAAAATTAGGAGATTAAAGTCATAACATAAGGAAGCTTAAGTCGTAGAATTAGGAAAATAAAGTCTTAACATTAGGAAATTAAAGTCGTAACAGTAGGAGATTATAGTCGTAAAATAAGAAGATTAAAGTCGTAACATAAGGAGATTTAAGTCGTAGAATTAGGAAAATAAGGTCGTAACAGTAGGAGATTATAGTCGTAAAATAAGAAGATTAAAGTCGTAACATAAGGAGATTTAAGTCGTAGAATTAGGAAATTAAAGTCGTAACAGTAGGAGATTATAGTCGTAAAATAAGAAGATTAAAGTCGTAACATAAGGAGATTTAAGTCGTAGAATTAGGAAAATAAGGTCGTAACATTAGGTAATTAAAGTCGTAACAGTAGGAGATGAAAGTCGTAACATAAGGAGATTAAAGTCGTAACATAAGGAGATTTAAGTCGTAGAATTAGGAAATTAAAGTCGTAACATAAGGAGATTTAAGTCGTAGAATTAGGAAATTAAAGTCGTAACATTAGGAAATTAACGTCGTAACATTAGGAGATTAAAGTCATAACATTAGGAGATTAAAGTCGTAGAATTAGGAAATTAAAGTCGTAACATTAGGAAATTAACGTCGTAACATTAGGAGATTTAAGTCATAACATTAGGAGATTAAAGTTATAACATAAGGAGATTTAAGTCGTAAAATTAGGAGATTAAAGTCCTAAAATTAGGAGATTTAAGTCGTAACATTAGGAGATTTAAGTCGTAACATTAGGAAATTAAAGTCGTAACATTAGGAGATTAAAGTCATAACATAAGGAAGCTTAAGTCGTAGAATTAGGAAAATAAAGTCTTAAAATTAGGAAATTAAAGTCGTAACAGTAGGAGATTAAAGTCGTAACATAAGGAGATTAAAGTCGTAACATAAGGAGATTTAAGTCGTAGAATTAGGAAATTAAAGTCGTAACATAAGGAGATTTAAGTCGTAGAATTAGGAAATTAAAGTCGTAACATTAGGAAATTAACGTCGTAACATTAGGAGATTAAAGTCGTAGAATTAGGAAATTAAAGTCGTAACATTAGGAAATTAACGTCGTAACATTAGGAGATTTAAGTCATAACATTAGGAGATTAAAGTTATAACATAAGGAGATTTAAGTCGTAAAATTAGGAGATTAAAGTCCTAAAATTAGGAGATTTAAGTCGTAACATTAGGAGATTTAAGTCGTAACATTAGGAAATTAAAGTCTTAACATTAGGAGATTAAAGTCGTAAAATTAGGAGATTTAAGTCGTAAAATTAGGAAACTAAAGTCGTAACATTAGGAGATTAAAGTCGTAACATTAGGAGATTAAAGTCATAAAATTAGTGATTAAAGCCGTAAGATTAGGAGATTAAAGTGGTGACATAAGGAGATTTAATTGTAACATTAGGAGGTTAAAGTCGTAACATTATGCAAATAAATTTGTACATCAGGAGACATTATTTGTAACATTAGAGGACTAAAGTCGTAACATTAAGAGAAAAAAGTAACGTTAGAGGATTAAAGTTGTAATATTGCAGGAATAAAGTCTTTACATTATGGGAAAGACATTGGCAACAATACCAGAATAAAGTCTTAATTGTGGGGGATTTAATTTGCAGAATTATGAGAATGAAGTGGTAACATCACTGGATTTAAGTCATAACATTTTAAAATAAAAGAATTTGCCTAATTTTATGTGCATTCTTACAAGTACATCTAGTCTTCCCCCTGAGTTAAAATGCTTTATCAAAGCATCTTAGTAAAATGACTTTTTGTTTCATATTATTACAACTTTATTCTCATATATTATAGCTGTTTTTATAGCATTACATCTTTATTCTTATATTGTTGCAACTTTATTCTTGTAATTCGAAAAATATGCATACAAATGTATTAGTACGGCCCTAAAACTTTGCAGCACTTAAGAAAACTTAAAATGAAACCTGAGCAAAATAAAAAAGGCATGCAAGGAGTAAAGACATATTTCCTTTTTTAAAGTAGACCCTGCAGATATAAAACGAGAAAAAAGGAAACAAAGACAACAAAAAAACAGGACACGTGGCAGAGTTTAGGCTATATACTAGATAATAATTTGGATAAAGTTTATTCTTGTACTTTAAACAGCCTCTAGAATCTTAAATACATAATTAATAAGCTATGATTATAACAAAGCCAAAAAGAAAAGAGAAACTGCCTGTGAACAACCCATTGTGCACATTATGATTTATGATTGTTGGTGAGCTGTTTAATAAACACAAACAATAGATAGAAATGTATGTGTGGGGATTTTAAGATAAAAATCTGCATTAACTCACTCTATTTAAAAATATAAAAAGCTTTCTTTACGTAAAATGTCATGATGGGTTTAAAAATTCCACTGCTTACAGGAATGCAACTTCACACTGGTCAAATGTAAAGTTTAACCCCTCCTTGCGATGCAATACCACAAAAAAAGGCCTGGAGCTAGGTGGATGTTGGGTTGGTGGTGATAAAGGTAACTTCTGAAGGTTTTTGTCCTGAAGTTAAGCCGAGGGAAGGGGAATCTGCTCTGGTTATTCTCCTTTCTTCAGACAAATACAGGTCTAAATTAGTCTCTCTCTTTGTTTACATTCTCAGCCATCCTGCTCTGATGTTTGGAGGACTTTGTTGTTTGTAATGCCATGCTGTGCTTTTGTGAAAATACATGCATGAAAACTTTAAGCAGCAGTTTGTGGATACGTCTGGGAGAGCACGAAAAAGCCTTGAGCATTTTCCACTGTGCCTGTTGTTCCAGGGCATTATCCAGCTGCTGAGACAATGAATGCTCTGTTGTTTTGTGTGTTTACGTTTATCTGTGTGTGTGTGTTTGCGTGCAGGTACAATGGCTCTCTGCCCAATGGAGACCGAGGCCGACGCAAAAGCCGCTTCGCACTTTATAAGAGGCCGAAGGCAAACGGGGTGAAGCCCAGCACAATTCATGTCGCCTGCTCCCCACAAGCAGCCAAGGTAAAACAAAACCATCTCAGACTGACTCTTTAAAGTGATTAGACCACTCAGAATTTCAAAACTGACAGAATTTTGCTTTTTATTAGCCTCAGGCCGTTTTTCTCCTTTAGTTTTAAAAAACATGATATCATTCAAGCCAAACAGTTGCATATTCCTGGCTATATTAAGATTTAACTGATTTTCAAATAACCAAATTTTTTGTTTCTTAAAGGGAATAATGCATTTTTTTTTGTTTTATTATCTAAAGAGATAAAAAAGAAAAAAAAACATTTCGGAAGATTATTTTGGATTTTTCCTATAAATGATGAGCAAATTCATCATGTTTCCATCTTACCTGATAAACAACTCTTTGAGGGTGAAAGACCTCCAGACCATTACCCTAATCAGATTGTCTATCAGATGGAAGACCAAACTGGCTATGAGGCAAGAAATAGCTAAAGCAGCTTATCTTTGTGTATTTTTAAAAGAATATAGACCTTTTTAAAAACCTCAGTAGCACATAGTATCAGTATCCTGTTATGCTACGTTCACACCGCCCGTGCTTTGGGCAGCTAAAAAGTGGCAGCTGCTTCATTTTTGATGCTTGTACACAATAAGGTCAAGATCATCTTTGATGCTCCTGAAGCGCATCCAGTAAAGTTCGTCCAGATGCATCTGATGTTTCTGCTGTTCCTGTGTTCAATGGCAGAGAGCCACTTTGCTATAATTGCTATGATAATCTGGTAAAAAGTAGTTTTAACATATTTTCAAGCGAGAAAGTCCACCTCAAAGCATTATCTTTGCAGTTCATCGAGATTATGATCCTGTCTTAAAATATTTAGCTGTTGAAGCCACCACATACCAGTGGTGCGCTGTCACTGGAAATCCCCAGCAGCAGCTGGGGGGTTTCCCCTACTGTTTGTCGCAACTGGAAGTAGATTTTAGTGTTTTTATGTATGTGGCAAAAACTGCAGGAACCAGAATAATGAAAGCGAACATATTTTGCTGGCAGGTTTTGACATTTTAAGTTATTTAGGCATTAATAAACTGTTTCAGGGGAGTGATCATAGCGATCTGCATTAGCAGTGCTGGGTCTGTCTCCATGCAAGCCTCAGATCAGCTTCTCTGATTGGTTGATGTGGCGTGTCGAGCAGCATACATTTTTCCAACTCCAGCAGCTACTGCTTGTGAAGCGCATCACACACCTTAGATGCTCAGAAGCTCATGAGGCGCTGCTTCAGCTGTTTAGATGCATCAAGATGCACTGCTTCTGTTGCTCTAGACGCGCTGCAGGGCCTTTTGATGCACCTCGATACGCGTCAACCATTGACTTTTCATGTGAAGCGGCTGCTTCTGCTGCTTCAGTTGCATGCGGTGTGAAAGTAGCATTATCCTTTGATAACAGGGAGACTAAAAAGACTAAATCAGCCTCCACTGATCTTTCCTTAAATACATTGAAATTTGCTGACACTCACTTAACTTCAATCTAAGCGTGTTTCTGTTTGGTAGCTCTGCTTTAGGATTGTTTAAATGATCAAAATCAGATTTTATTCCTGTTGAATCAGTAATGAGTGAATCTTAAAACAGACAGCAGCTGATTTTTACAGGGCATCGTTGGTCATAATTTGGTCACAGGTAAGTTTTTCAAGGATCTTTTCTTTATTCCTCCTGTTCCTTCCTTCTATCGTGGTTTAACACTAACAAACTTGTCTGAGGTTTAATAGGCTTTGTAAATTACTTGCAAAGTTTTTCCTGTGTCTTTATCTGCTCATTGTTTATTTCCTGTCCATACATCGACAAATGGCCTCCACATATTCAGCTACCATCCCTGTATCGTGTAGACCAGGCATCCCCAAACTCGATCCTCGAGGGCCGCTGTCCTGCAGGTTTTAGACGTTTCCTTGCTCCAGCACAGCTGATTTTAATTGAAAGCTGATTAACAGGCTTTTGCTCTACTGCAATCAATATAATCAGCTGTGCTAAAACAGGGAAACCTCTAAAACCCGCAGGACAGCGGGCCTCAAAGACCGAGGTTGGGGATGCCTGGTGTAGACAACACCTTAAGAAGTGATCTCTTGACCTCAGGCTGGTTCACCCGGGGGATTTAGAACAACTTTTAACAGTTGTGGCTGAAAATCAAACCACTCTTTAGGACAAAAGACGTTCTGTTGCTCCTAAATCTGAGTCCCCTCCTCGAATCGCCACCTTACCGTGGTGGAGGGGTTTGAGTGCCTCAGAGATCCCAGAAGCTATGTTGTCCGGGGCAGTTTTGCCCCTGGTAGGGTCTCCCATGGCAAACTGGTTCTGGGTGAGAGGCCAGACTAAGTGCGATTCAGTGGCTTTTCTTTAAGAATACAAGAGGAATCTGGTGAGGAACCTGCCTCCTTTCTTTGGATCAGCAAACAGGTGAACGGCATTAACTGAACAACAGGACCTTTGGTTGGCCAACACGTTTGGTTGTACAAATGTGTTATATCAATACCAGGCAAACGACTCAGCAAAGATCCTATTTCAGTTAGGCTCTTTTAGCAGTCTGTTTCCAACAGAAAGTGATAAAGATATCATATGTTAGTATTTGAGTTGAAATGAAGATAACAGTTTGAAAGAAGAAAGTAGGACTTTAGCTTTAGAGGTTATTCCCCATGGACACACTGAACCTGTTTGTTTTAATACCCTGTTTCATTTGCTGTGCAAAGACGTATAGTTTTGAAATTTTTCCTTTTGTTTTTCATCTGTTCAGTTTCTTTGTACTTCAGCACAAACTGTGAGATGTGGTTTCAATGCCAGGTACTGTGTGGGCGAGGGGCATCTGAAGTTCAAAGAAAAACTTGGAAAGACCTTCAGAAAGCCTGGAAAATTGTTGATAAAGACCAATTTATGAGGAAGAAAGGACCACACCTTGGAAAAAGAGAAATTACCCAAAGATTAAAGCTTTAAAATATTAAGGCTTAGGAACACATTAAACAAATGAAGTTAGGTGGATTCAGGCTGGGGTTTTTTTTTTGTTTTTTTTGAGAAAAGATATATGAATAATCTCCTGGAGAAAAGGAACACAGGCAGGTGTTTAAGAGAGGTAAGTGTGAGCGGTTCAGTGGAAGGTGACGCAGCGCTTTCCTGCAAAAACCTGGAAAGCACATGTTTCCATCCTCTGAAGTCCTCTGTAAACTTTCAGAGAAGGCTAATAAATGTAGGACAGCTTTAAGGTTTCACATGTGTAGCCAGCAAGCTCTCTGAGAACAGCGCTCTACCCTCTTACTACAGCCAACACGCCAATACGAGCAACATCTCCAACAACAATCTGCTGGTTGTTCTGATTTAGTGACGTCTAAAATCTGTCGTCTTTAAACTCAAACCATGTTCCAGTCTTTTCATGAATTATGACAAGACCTGCAGTTATTTTTGTCTCCTCATCTCGGGTTACCTTCTCTGTTGTCATCCATCATCCTTTTCTTGTGTCCTATCAGGCCATAAGCAACAAAGACCAGCACAGCATCTCTTACACTCTGTCGCGAGCCCAGACGGTGGTGGTGGAGTACACTCATGACAGCAATACTGATATGTTCCAGGTAAAATAGCCCAGGTTTTTATTGCTTTTTTTTTTTTTTTACAGCCAATCAACAAACTTTTTAATCTTTTTTTTTTTTTCTCCCACCTTACTGTTCTTGACATGTAGAATTTGCTGGGATTTATGAACGCTGGTTGGTGCACTGCAGGTTTAAAAGTTGAGACTAAAGGCCCCTCTGATGCCATAACAGATCTTTATTAATAGTAAAAGAAGAGGTGATGTCACACTGTGTGAGAGAGGCAAAATGGGTTTTTGCTATTTTATTTTAAATTAAAAAAAAAATGATAAAAGGGGGGCCTTTTTTATATAATTAAAGCAATAAGTAATAATTTAAACATTCAAAATTTCACACAATAAAGTTTGAAATGTAATTGATTTGTTACCCTCTCTGTTTATTCCCTAATAAATTGGTTCTCTCCAGTGTTGGTCATTTAAACTTCCAGTTATTATCTCAAGTCATGTTTTTAAGTTTGACAGAATGACGAATGTGTTTCCATGGCGCAGTGGTTAGGGCATACCATCCATTTACGGAGGCCTTAGTAATTGACATGGCTGACCTGGGTTTGAAATTAACTTCTGAACTCCTGGATGATCCATAAATGGACAACTTTAAACATTCTGCCTACAATGGCACCTTTTCTTGGTGATCTGCAACCTACAGTCTCAGAGCCAGTGTGGCTCTTCAGGCCCTCTGCAGAGACTATAAATTTGACCAAAAGTAGAAAAATGTAAAGAAAAAATCAAATTATTTAATGTTTTTTTTTAAGCTGATATATATATATTTTTTTATTCTCTTTTTTTTTGCATTTGGGGGGTAAAATTTATATATTTTTTATTTACTTTTTTGAATATATTTAAGAAATATTTTCCCTCACTCCTTTAAAAGTTTTGAGGTTTTGCTCTAAAACTTCACAGTAGTTCATCAATTTAAACATAAATCATGTGTTACAGTTTGTGCCTACAGACAAACTGTTTGGCAAGAAGAACTGCAAAAACGACTCTTTGGATCGTAAACGTTGCAGCTGGATGTTTCCAATGGCATAATGAATTGGTCTCTGTATCTATTTAGTGTTAATCATTCCAAACCTTAGAAGTGGTAGAAAACAGCCGTGCAGATTGTTGAACTTTAGTAACTAAACCCAATCAGATCTACATGTCAGTAAACATGCAGCTGACAGGAAACAAACAGAACTTCAGTCAAAGCTTTGAGTGAGGTCTGATCACACAGAGACATGATCATTTCAGACCGTGCTGATGGTTTAGAGCGTTTATGTTTCTTTTTAGGAATAAAAACATTCACAAATGTACATACTGTATGATTTGTTGACTGATCTAAAGAGCCTTTCTTCTCGTAATTTGCACTTCAGAGATAAAAAAAAGGAGAAAGAAATACAAAAAAATACAAAGAAAGGGAAATATTTGAGTTCAAATGCAACAGTTGTAATTGTACTGAGAGGTTGTGAGTCCCAACTCTGAGCTGCATATTTAAATGTGCACATTTTGGATTTAGATAATGCAAAACATCTTTATTCAAATTTCCAGTGGAGGGGTGTACAATGTATTCTCACAGCATTTTCTAAAATTACCCTGCAGTGAGCTCGGGTAGTAGCAATAACGCAGCGGGAGACTGTTGCTGTGTTGTTATTTTGATACGGCTGTGATGCGGGTCGCTGCCATGGGCAACACAGTGCCTGTTAGCAAAGCACAACATCAGAGTTATCCTGCTGCAAGAAATACAGCAGATTTAGACTAATTACAGGTTTGGATTCTTTCTCAATGCCCAAGCACATTTGTTTTTAAGTCTGTATTAATCCCCGCTCCTCCAAAGGTAAAGATGAACCTGCTTGTTTTGGTTTTCCACCAGATCGGTCGATCCACAGAGAGTCCGATAGACTTCGTGGTGACGGACACAGTGGCCGGCAGCCAGAGTAACTCAGACACCCAGTCGGTCCAGAGCACCATCTCCCGCTTCGCCTGCCGCATCATGTGCCAGCGCACGCCGCCTTACACGGCTCGCATCTATGCCGCGGGCTTCGATTCCTCCAAGAACATATTCTTGGGGGTAAGCCATCTTTCATTTTCACACGGCTCAGAAAAACAGCACCACACTGCATCATCATTCAAATATTCCTTCTCCCTAATCTTCGATTTTCCACATCGCTTTTTGCTTCAGGAGAAAGCTGCAAAGTGGAAGACGCTCGACGGACAGATGGACGGGCTGACCACTAATGGCGTGCTGGTGATGCATCCTCGCAACGGCTTTATGCAGGACTCCAAACCGGGAGTCTGGAGGGAGATCTCTGTTTGTGGAAACGTCTTCACCCTGCGAGAGACGCGCTCGGCGCAGCAGCGGGGGAAAATGGTGAGATAAGAAATATTTTAATTCAAGATTAAAACATTTTGCCTACAGTGGTTAAAAGTAAACAAGTACCTCATCTGCAAAAAAAATAAATAAATCATAACCCAGAAAAAGCCTCCATGATTGTTAAATCAGAGGTGATGAATCCCTTACACCATCTTTTTCACACTCTTCCGAAACCTTTTCCCCATCAGAAGGTTATCTAGATGCCATCTCCAAGGCAACAGTTTGTCAGTCAAAGCTGTGAGTAACACGATCTTGCAAAGGATCCTCCAGCTGTCTCTTGGCCAATCACAACCCTCCCTCTGCCTCATCTCCACAGCCACAAGACACTTAACCGTTTTATTCCCTCCTCTACTTCTTAATCCGTCTCTTTATCTGCTGTCTCACCACAGGGACAGCTCTCCTCTTATCCTCACACCAGATCTACATACCTTAGTGTGGGAGTTTGTCATGCTTGATGGGATTGAATAAATACCTTTTTTTTCAGGTTCCATTTAGTTTATCACAGAAAGGACAGCGTCATCTTCGTATTGGAGCTATCAGATCAAATGGTGGAAAATCGAGGAAGTAATTTATATGTTATCTCTATGTAAAGGCAGTAAACTAATGGTCCCCAATGGGAAGAACCTATTTCAAGCAATGCTGATGATGCAAACTGGTTGATTGGGGACATGATGGCCGATTAACCTGGCGATGTAGTTCAGCGGAAAAGCTTTTTTTCTTCAGTCAGGTTGATCTGTCCTTCCGCCACGGTAAAACAGCTCCTGCCGTTGGGTCCTGGACGGACAGAAGTGCTGCGGCGATCCAGCCACGGCTCCTTCAGCAGGTGGTGGTACTAGAGGAACTGACTGTGGATCTGGTAGATGAAGCGGACGTTGTTGGTCTTTCCACATTACATACAGCAGCGTAACTCGCTCGGTAAAATGAAGGACCCCGTGGTTGAGTTCGACACACGACAACAGCTCCTCCCATCCGATGACACGGTGAAGCGAACTAGGCGTAATTAGTCACACGGATTGTTTGCATTTGCATGGAAGGAACGCACCTTTATATGGAGATCTTAGACACAAAGCTCAGTAAAATCCAGGCTTTATCCTAAGATATAAATATTTCTTGTATTGTTTTAGGACATTCTGTTTGTTGTCTTTACATAACTCAGTTATTTACACCAGACTGCAGATGTGTCTCCAGGTTTTCTCTATGATCTCATCTCTCTTTGGAATCCAACCCGTTTCTTATTAGATCCTGCTTCAGTAGAAAATATCGAACAATGAGTTGAAGAGAGCTCATCTCTAAATAGGAGGCAACTTTCCGCTGTTTTTTTCCAATTTTTTCAGACCACAGCACTGCAGTCATGTTTTAAGGCCCAGTGAAGCGGCTGTGGTAGCGTGGGTGATGGCTGAACTCCTGCAGGGTTATGCAAGCTTTGATGCTGCTAAATGTGCTTTGCTCTGATGTAGAAAAAAAAGGTTAACAATGAAGGGAAAAATGCTTATATGTGCATAGATCTCAGATGTGAGCATTCATACTCACTGGAGCAGTTTTTCAGATTGCTTTAATGTGGTTCATAGGTGAAGAACTGCTAGAGGAGCGACCTTTTGCTCCCTGAGCTAGCTTGTAATTGAGCAGTAGAAATGTAAAGGTCAGGCCAGAGAGATTTGAGCATGTGTATCATGAAGAGTGCAAACACGCTCTGCAAACAGTTTTATAAAGAGGGAGATATCAGAGCAGTTGCACGCTGAACAGGCCAGCCAACACGCTGTGGTCCCCTCGAGCACCGCGGTAACCTCAACACCTTGAAGTTGCCTCTTGTCTTATCTCTGCATCAGCTTCTGCCGTATGATTCATTCCCTACTTTTCTCCTCTCCATTCTCTGTGTTTTCCCCTCCTCATGCACTCTGGTTATCTAAACATGGAATTTCCCGCTCCGTCTGATCATGCAAAGGCAGAATGAGTTCTTCCTCAACTCTGAATTCATCCAGAAATTTCCAGCAGCTGTCTGGTCCGCCTTCAAGCAGCACAAATCACAGCTTCCTCATCTCATCTTCCCCCCAGCTGTCACTCTTCTGCCCCTCTGACAGACTCAGGATGGCTACGTTAGGATGCCACCTGCTGTCCTCAGAGCGGTACTGCAGAAATGGCAGTGATGTCTTTTTAAACCTCCCTACAGGTTTAAGCTGACTAAATAAAAGGTTTTGGGGTTGTTTTTTTTACCTCACAAGAAAGATGATCATAGAAAAATGATTTATTTATCTTGGAAATGATCTTCAAAAGAGAGATAAATATATATCAAGTGTATCCTTTTGTTAGATTTGAAAATTAACCCAAAATTCTGCTTTGTAGACTTTTATAGAGTATTTTGTAAAACCTAAACAAGTATTTTTCATAAATAAATATGAAGTTAAAGCCTTAACATACATGAAGATTTATAGATATATGTTTTTAAATAGAGATTAAAAACATCTCTATGTAGAAAGACCGTTGATTGTGCCATCTAAATATTTTTTACGTTTTTAGTCTGAGGTCAATCTTCTCTTTATCAGCAGAAAAATGGATGAGCAAATATCTGTATTTTACTAAGAAAGACAAAACTAGATTTTCCTAAAGCCTTTGTTAATAACAACTGCATATATTTGTACATCGCTGCTGTCTAAATTAAAGGTGTAGTAGATGATCTTTTAGCTTTGAATACTGGGGAGAACATATTATATTAAAAAAAATAAACAAATCCTCTGTACTTTTATAAATAATTGTTATGCATATTGATATTTACAGTTTAACTAATATTTAGTAATACCTACATTACATTGATTAAGTTGTTATTATCGTTTATAAGAGTCCTAGTGACTTGCAGACACGTTTTCCCTTCTACTCCATTAAACAAAAAGACTAATTCTGAAAATAGCATAAACTCACTATTTATCATCTTTAAAATTAGTATGTTGATATGAGTAATTAACTACTATATTTTTGCTGTCAGTTTATTGATAATATTAAAATAATTTAAAATTACTTCCAGTAGAGATCATTTCAGTCGAGAGTATTGCTGCTGCCACCCTCTGGTTTAGAGGGGAACTGCTTATGAATGATGGCCATGTAGGATCCCTTGGTATTGGTTTCAGGAAAGAATCGCAGTCCACTCATTACAGAAACTAGTTATCTCATTAACTCTATCTGGAAAAAATATCTTTACCTCTTTTTCTCATCAAAACAAAGAAATTGATAAAATCCTTAACACATATTACTTGGCAAATATTTTATTCACAAAAATAAATTCCAAAAAACAAAACCACCATTTTCAGCATTTCATATTGAAATAAAAACGATAAATTGATACAATTGTCAAATCTAAATAACAATTCAATCTGAAAAACTCACACGAAGAGAAAAGATAATTAGGAGAAATGTATTGATACAATTACTTTGTCTTTGGTGCTCAGAGCTTGGCAGGAAACATAGCGCTGAATTTTGATTAATATGCATGAACAGGAGCAAAGAATAGTGCTGTTTCCCCCTGGTTAGTGAGACGGTCTGCTGAGCTTTATGGGGAGATCCAGTGGATTGGGTGAGCTGATACTAGAGCTTCACTCAGGGACCTGGAAGATGGAAGTCCAGTTGAATAACACAGGTTGAGAGAACCTGTCCATGATGAGCAAGCATGAAGTGCCAGTGGAGAGGAAAAACTCCCCATTGGGAACCTCTGGCAGAACCAGGCTCAACATGGCGGCCTTCTGCTGGACCGGTTAAGATGAGACAGGGAACGCAGTAAGAGTCCAGGAGGAATAACACTCTGATGAAGCTTTAGCTGTGATGGTGGAGGAGGGGCTGGAGGTGGGTTGAAACTGGGTCATCTGAATTGAAGTCACAGTGCATCCCCCGCCTGCGCACAGGAGCAGACAGGTGCGAACTTGGGATGCTGATTGGCTTTCGTGGAGGTGTGGTTCAAAGCTGATTGGCTGTGTCGCAGGTGGATGAAGGAGAGCAATGAGGCTCCATTTAAAAAAAAAAAAACACACACAATCTATCTTATAGACTCTCATAATTGCTCAAATCACTGCACCCCGCTCTCTAAACTACTGCATCTCAACACATTTTGATCTAAGATCTCTTCTTTCCATCATTCAGCCCCAAACTCCACTCCCTTTGATTTTTTGTTGTTTGTTTTCCTTTTTTCTTCTTCTTTTTTTCTTTCTCTTAGCTAATTTTATTGGTGGGACATTTGTTACTGAATGGCTTATATTCTGTAAATATTGTACATACCTTTCATTGTCTATATATCAGGGAAGTGTTGGCCTAGTGGTTAGAGCAGTGCGCTTGTGCTGTGAGAAGGTTCCAAGTACCCGGTTCGATCCCCACAGACTCCACGCTGGGTTCCTAGGTGAGACCCTTAACGCCCCACTGCTCCCTGGGCGCCACACAATGGCAGCCCACTGTTCCCTCATGGCTGGTTATACTACCACAGCCATGTGTCGCACTAAGCTTGTCGCAGATATTTTTGATTTATGCCCAATATTGAAGTCGGGGTCTTTGCTAAGTTATTCCATTTCACAACGCAAGAGCGACTATCACGAACTAGCTGTGTGAGGCGGTGAGGAAGTGGAGGCAAGTTTGTGCATAACGCAGGGACATTAGGGCAAAAAAAGAACGGGGATCCAGGTGGAAAAAGGGTGAGTTTCCGCATTTTGGGACAATAAAGGGATTTACAACTAAACAAAAAAAAAAAACGGTGGTTGTCCCCATCTAGCGCCGCCTCTGGGTAGATTGTAGCTTGGGTCTAAGCTTTGCTCTCGCTGTGTGTTCCAGGTGGAGACTGAATCTCAGGAGCTCGTTGACGGTTCACTCATCGACCTCTGCGGCGCCACCCTCCTGTGGCGCACGGCTGAGGGCCTGTCCCGCACCCCGACCCTCAAACACTTGGAGGCGTTGCGTCAGGAGATCAACGCGGCCCGGCCGCAGTGCCCCGTTGGTTTCAACACGCTGGCCTTCCCCTCCATGCGGCGGAAGGACACTCCTGACGAGAAGCAGCCCTGGGTCTATCTGCAGTGCGGCCACGTGCACGGTTACCACAACTGGGGGAACCACCGCGAGGAGAGGGAGGGCCGGGAGGGCCGTCTGAGGGAGTGCCCCATGTGCCGGGCGAAAGGCCCTTATGTGCCGCTGTGGCTGGGCTGTGAGGCGGGTTTCTATGTTGACGCGGCTCCGCCCACTCACACCTTCAACCCCTGCGGACACGTCTGCTCTGAGAAGACAGCGGCCTTCTGGAGCCAAATCCCCCTCCCACACGGCACCCACACTTTCCACGCCGCCTGCCCCTTCTGTGCCCAGCAGCTGAGCGGCGAGCGGGGCTTCATCAGACTCATCTTCCAGGGGCCCCTCGACTAGCCGGGAGGGGAGGGACCCCTCCGCATGTTTTTCCTCTCTGGACCTTTTGCCTCTGTCTCCTTTTTAAGTGACCTTTGTATTGATTTTTCATGAATGACAAACAAATTTCTATATTTTCATGAAACCAGAGACACAAAACAAAAACCAAACAAAGAACACCGCGGGGTGAACTTTTGTTTCACGAAGAGAACTCTCATCAGTATTTATCGAAATCACTGACACGCCCTCGTGCAAACATGCGATTTTTGTTCGAGTATTTGTTGCAATACACATGTGTACATCTCTCAGAGCCTATTTAAAGAAATATGTTTATTTATGACCCAGAACATCGCTTCAACCTTTATCTGTCAGAAATCCCTAATCCTGAAGTGATTACCTTTAAAAATCCAGCATATTGTTAATCATACTTGATGTTTTAGGTGTTTTTTTTTTCCAAAGGGTTTTATTCTGTGTTCTCCTATCAAAGCCATTCAGTGTATTTATATACAACACGTCCTCATCGACTACTTTGTACGACGTTTCAAGTTCAGAGCAATAGATTTGCAGCAGAAACCTCCTCAAGCATTAAAGGAGCCTCTGAGGCGTCTTTATCAATGCCTGCACAGCCGCTGCCCTCCCTTTAACGAGTGAATCTCTGTTAGCCATAAAAACGCAATGATGTAGCCGTGGACTCCCACACTAACCTGAACTGTTTTTATTTATTCTAAGGATAAAATGGGCTAATAGACAGGAACTCGCGGTACAGACGTTTACCGGGTGTGGATGGCGACTTAATTCAGCCTGCTTGGCTGCTGGAATGTAAGTGAAGGTCCGATTCTGAGGCAAGAAATCGCAGGGATCTCAAAATGCTTTTGGTGCCTCGACAGCGCCCTCTGCTGGTAACTGGGGATGAGTATCTCCGAAACATGCTGGGCTCCTTTCTTGTATTGAAGGAAGTTAAAAGTATTTTTTTTTCTCACGATGAGATGCACCAATCAGGCTTTTCCAGTCTGATTCTTCAAAGTTTGACTTACAATTCTAATTTTTAATAAACTGATTTTTATTTTCTTCCTCAGCACTAATACAGATATGAGGATAAATAAAAAGCAGGTTATTTCAAAAGGGAGGAAATCATCAGCTTTCCCATTTATGCATTGCAACATACACTATATTGCCAAAAGTATTTGCTCACCCATCCAAATTATTGGAATCAGGTGTTCCAATCACTTCCATGGCCACAGGTGTATAAATTCAAGCACCTAGGCATGCAGACTGTTTTTACAAACATTTGTGAAAGAATGGGTCGCTCTCAGGAGCTCAGTGAATTCCAGCGTGGAACTGTGATAGGATGCCACCTGTGCAACAAATCCAGTCGTGAAATTTCCTCGCTCCTAAATATTCCACAGTCAACTGTCAGCTGTATTATAAGAAAATGGAAGTGTTTGGGAACGACAGCAACTCAGCCACGAAGTGGTAGGCCACGTAAACTGACGGAGCGGGGTCAGCGGATGCTGACGCGCATAGTGCGAAGAGGTCGCCAACTTTCTGCAGAGTCAATCACTACAGACCTCCAAACTTCATGTGGCCTTCAGATTAGCTCAAGAACAGTGCGCAGAGAGCTTCATGGAATGGGTTTCCATGGTCGAGCAGCTGCATCCAAGCCATACATCACCAAGTGCAATGCAAAGCGTCGGATGCGGTGGTGTAAAGCACGCCGCCACTGGACTCTAGAGCAGTGGAGACGCGTTCTCTGGAGTGACGAATCGCGCTTCTCCATCTGGCAATCTGATGGACGGGTCTGGGTTTGGCGGTTGCCAGGAGAACGGTACTTGTCTGACTGCATTGTGCCAAGTGTAAAGTTTGGTGGAGGGGGGATTATGGTGTGGGGTTGTTTTTCAGGAGCTGGGCTTGGCCCCTTAGTTCCAGTGAAAGGAACTCTGAATGCTTCAGCATCCCAAGACATTTTGGACAATTCCATGCTCCCAACTTTGTGGGAACAGTTTGGAGCTGGCCCCTTCCTCTTCCAACATGACTGTGCACCAGTGCACAAAGCAAGGTCCATAAAGACATGGATGACAGAGTCTGGTGTGGATGAACTTGACTGGCCTGCACAGAGTCCTGACCTCAACCCGATAGAACACCTTTGGGATGAATTAGAGCGGAGACTGAGAGCCAGGCCTTCTCGTCCAACATCAGTGTGCGACCTCACAAATGCGCTTCTGGAAGAATGGTCAAAAATTCCCATAAACACACTCCTAAACCTTGTGGACAGCCTTCCCAGAAGAGTTGAAGCTGTTCTAGCTGCAAAGGGTGGACCGACGTCATATTGAACCCTATGGATTAGGAACGGGATGTCACTTAAGCTCATATGTGAGTCAAGGCAGGTGAGCAAATACTTTTGGCAATATAGTGTATGTTCTTACCCTTTAGACTCAAAAAGTGCATCATGTTCTTCCTGGTAGTGGATGCAGTCTTCAAAGTATATTATTTCTTAGTTTTGTTTTGAAGCATTTAATGACATTTGGATTTTTTTTTCAGGATTTGATTGCTGCATCTCTACTTTGATTGAATAATCGCAGTGCTGGAGAATTCACTGATCCGATATATTGACTGTAGCCCACAGAGGTTTGAAGCCTTTGAAAAGAAAAACGTGTTTATTTTACCAGGGCTTTGTGACAATTTGTGCTTTTCATAAAGCATCTGCATGTGTTACTTTTTTATACATGTGGAGCAATATAGGAAACCGAATATCAGGGCTGCCTGGTCTTAGTTTCTTTTTAAGACAAACAAATAGGATTATTATTTTAGTTAAAATTCCATAGTATTCTAAAAAAGCAGGATTTAAACTAATTTATTTAAAATACAAAAGCCATCATTATTCCTTTTGCTAATAGAATATAAATTGATTATTCCATAATTATGCAGTATTAGAATAGCTGTAATGAGGTTATCTATTTATTTATTATGAAATAGTTATATGACTTAATCAAGAATATAAAATGAACACAGTCACAGTGCTTTATGCTTTACAGTCACAGTAAAGCATAAATCATTAGTTTCAGTTCATATATAGTGGCACAAGCTGAGGTCAGCTGGTTAACTTGTCGGGCTGGTAGCTGGCCTGCAGTCTGCTGCTTTACGGTCATGCTGTTTGTTTGTTTTTTAGATAGTTATACTTTGAACAATCTAAAAAGGTTATCTTTATTTTTAGAGATATCTGATGCCATAGGTATTTCCGTAAATATGAATTTGTCTTTTCTGTTCAAGTAGAAAGTGCAGAGATAGAATTTAGGGAGGGATCACTTTGAAACTTTCTCCTGTAAATCATTAAGGTTTCATTAAAGCTGAAGCACGTTTGGAGCTGCATCTTTAATATCTCTTATCAGCCCATACCTGCTACAAACCAAACCTTTCCCCGGTGTATTTACCCTCTGTTAGGCTGCATAAGAAACCATGTGTGGTTTTAATATCTTAAGCCAACAAGTAATGTTTCAGATAATTATTAGATGGAAGGATTTGTGTTTAGAGACTATAGATTGGGACTTATTCTGAGAAAATGGCAAACTGAGGCGGTCCTGATATGTTACCTTTGAATAAAAGCACAGATTCTCCCAAACTCCTACTGCCGAACACACATTAGAGGCTGACATGAGCGAGACACACTCTGAAGCTGTAGATAAAACTGAAGCGTCTCTTCTGAACAGCTCCTGCAGATCCTCAACGGTCGTTTCTGTGTTTGTATGTGAGAAAGAGAGAGATTGTAATTTAACGGGTTGATTGTATGTGTTTAGTTTCTGTCCACGCAGTAGCTCTCCTCGTATCCTCAGGCTGCGACACACTAACTCACCTCAGGGAGAAACCGATGACCCGTGCACACGCTTGTACACCCTATGCTACAGCCATCTGAGGATACATCACAATGGATTAAAAAAAGAAAAGGCCTCTCCTTCTCCCAGTCCTGTTTGGTCTTCTTTATGGACTCTGTGTGATTAAAGGGCTTCCCGCTGTTTCTGTACTGTTATCTCAGCCCTGTTTGGACGCAAACAACCCGGCATCGGTTCATCCCCACCGTCCTCCTTCTGTCTTTGTGCTTGTAAAAGGCAAAATCAAAGAATGTTTCCAGCAAAACACTTTTTGTATCAACTTTAAACAATAAAGTGTAAAAGTGAAACATTTGGTTTTGTTGAGTCTCACTGAGCTGCTTTTCACTATTACATGTGAAATAATTATATCATTCAATGAGGTTTAGGCTCTGTTCGAAAACCTGGGCTGCATCCTCCAAGGACGCGGTTTACCTAGACTGGATCCTTCGAAGTCCTTGAAAATAAGGAGGCCGGAAGAGTTCTGTCTGTAAATTCGAACAGGTCCTTCGGCGGGTTTTACCGGCGTATGCTCTGTTGCTTAGCAACCGTGAAAGTTGACACACAAAGCAGGAAAAGAATGAATACCGAGGTTTTCAAAACGGTTTGTTTATTTATTTATTTTTTAAAAGGTTAAAGTGAACAAAGACTACACTCACTAGAATCCAGAGTGGAATAAAGGTTCCAACCACCAGGAGCAGGAACAAATAAAATCAAATGTAATGAAAGAAACCTTAGTCGGTTAAATAACCTGCTGCTGTCATTTTGCACATCTCTGATGTTGCTGCTATTTTCAAATATCCATTATTGTAAAAATGTCCATAGCTGCATATTGGTTATTTATTCTCCAGTTTTATATTGTTAAAACACTTTACAGAATTTTATTTTTTATATTTTAACTCTTCCCTATTATGTTTCCCTATTATATTTCTCTAAGGTCCACATTTGTGTGACCATTTTCAATAATCTTTCTGCTGCTGTAAATCTGCCCATTGTGGGACAATAAAGGGATTTTCTATTCTATTCTATAAAAGGCTTAGAAATATATAAGTAAATCTAAACAATGTATCTACAAAATATATCTGCAAAATCTCTAATATTCAACAACAAAAAATACTTAGTTAAGCATATTGTGCAAAACAACATTAAAAAAATTAAAATCCTATCAGATTTATAGTTCCCACTCTGCAGATATATTAGAAACTGTCCTTAAATTACAGCCAAACTCATTTACACAGTAACAGATTAAAACCTTTAGATAAACCAAACATTACCGCCACATATCTGACTCAATAACCATTAAAACAACTGTTTTCATTCATTTCAGACTGAACTATTCACAGAGTTGTATTATTATATTAAACTGAACTTCAAACTTTCACAACTGTTCTGCGCCAAGTAACATTTCCTCTGATCACGGAGCAAATCCCGATGATGAGACATTTGTTCACATTTGTTCTTTCAATATCACCTAAACCCTTTTTTCTCTTTTTTGTTGAATTGAGATAATATTTTAAATGGTTCAAGTTGCTAATAAATTCATTTTCAATCATTATTCACTTAAATG